CGCTGACAGGGGCCTTGAGCATGCGGCCTGTTCAGGTGCGGGAGGGAACGGCAGCCAGCGCCGAAACCCCGCCTTGTCTCTCTGGGCTTTAAAAAGGCTTTTAAAAGACCTTTAAAAAGGTCTTTTTGTTTGTTTTATTCTGTTTTTGTTTGTTTTGTTACTTTCTTTCATCGTCTTCAGTAGTTCTGATCCTGAAGCTGGCTGCTATTTCAAGTTTGAAATGAACAGTCAAAAAAAAAAAACCCACTCTGGGTAGATATAGGCAAATTGGAAGTATTTGGAAACATGTACGTCGATTATATTAAATGAGTGAAGAAAGGGAAAAAATGTGATAACTTCCATAATACACATCTGAAGAGAACAGTGATTCCTTCAGGTGGCATAGTCCTGTGTTCTATTTTATGAATATTTATGGTGACTTTGCAAATTAAACACCATTTTTCTGTCAGTGTATAAGTGTACTCCGCTTCTAACTCCTTAAAATGTGAGCTGCTGCTTGAGAGAGCTTGCTTATTTTCCTGTACAAAATCACAGTTACTATGTCTTGACTATTCTGAAATGAAAGAACCAGCTGGATTTATGGTAGGCTTGATACTTTCTGCAGGTCAGTACCTGCCTATGGGTGATGTGTAGTGTAACATCATTTTAAAAAATAATTCTGTATTCAATTTTAAGCAATTTGATTGTTTTAAATAGAAGTATTAATTTAAATGAGATTTTGAAATTCTCCTTGCTGTGACATTTGTGATACCATATCTTTTAGGGAGATTTTCTATCCTTTTTCTTTTTGTTAAGAAGGAATCCACCATTACAGTATTGAAACTCCCTCTCACGCCTAATTTGGAGAGTGGGGGAAGAAAGCAAATGGAGTACAGTTGTACCTGAAATCTAGTACGTTTTCTCACGCTTTCGTAATTGTGGTTTGAAAATGCAGTGGATCAGCTGCTGTGAGAAAAAAAAAGGCTTGATAGAATTCGCTTTCATTTATATATTTTTCTATAGTATTCTTTGAAACATCTTGCGAAGTTCTTATTATGACAGTATCCATACTGATTGATGTAGATTGTTTCATTTTTAAGGTAGAAGATCTAAAACAAAAGGAGGCTAACTGAGAGAAACCAAGAACTTTAGAAGGATTGACAATAAGATGGTGTGTGGGTTACAAAGTAATCTTTCTTACAAAATAAAAACAATGGAGTTGCAGCAGCAGAAGTCACCGAAGCACCAAAATACAGTATGCTGCTTTTCCCCAGGAAACATAGCTAGCTAGTTATCTGTGTCTTGATAAGCATTTCCCACTTCATTGGGAAATACTGTCTAACTGTCCAAGGCAATTCAAAGCTGTTTCTGATTTTCACTTTGACATCTAAGAAGAGTAGAGTTTGAAATAGGTATATTTGATCTAGCTGTTCTGGTGAAGTGATTGACAAAGATTTTATTCCCTGCTTAAAATTCTTCATTTCAGTATCTTGCAAGTAGTAAATGTGGCCAGTACGTTGACATTGGAATTCTAGCATCTGATTTGCAGAAAACCTACAGGTGAGCTAAGATTTGTATTCTTACATTCCACATTCAAAATATGGAATATAACAATTATCTTGTTATTTTGCACTTGTGTATTTTTAATCAAAATTTTATTTTTCTTTGTGTTAACTTCATTACCAGTTGTTGAGGTTGATTGAAACAGTAAGATCATTTCCACTCCAGTGTTTTCTTCTGCTGATATGTCTAGTAACTCATATTTTATTAATGCATTGACATTCCAAGATCTCGTTGCAGTTTGGGTTTAGAAACTCATATCTTTTTTTTTTTTTTTTTTTAAATTAAACAGCTACAGATGCATTACATGTTGGTCTTTGCCCCAGTGAACTTAAAATATGAGGGGAAAATAACACTTCAGTGCAGGCAGATGGGGGAGATACGGGATTCAGTGAGACACTAAATCTTGCTCAGTTGCTAAACAGGACAGTCAGTCCTGCCTAATTATTTTTAGGCTATTACGTTTTTCTGGGTGGGGAGCAAGGTTGTGTTTCAGCAGATCATTGGTGGGTGCGGGAGTTAATGAAGGTAGAGAAGTGTATTCATTTATGCTTGCATGTTCTATTTATTTGTGCCTTGTAGAAGGGGAGCCAAACCCCTTGCTTAGGCTGCTTGCAGGTCTTGGGTTTTTGTTTTGTTTTTCCTCTGTCAGCTATTGTATAAAAGCAAATAAATAAAATATACCCTCAGTAAGTGAAGGTAAAAGGTTGATGATTTTTGTTTGCAATTAAGGATGCTCATTGAATGAGATTTTCTCATAGTGACAGCACAGTTACTCCTTGCTAGACTGTCGTTTCTAGACCGTAGTCCTGTGTTCATATGTTCTTGTTTGAATTAAAATTAAAAAATCGGTAGTGTTGTGAAATAGAATCCAGTGTGCTCATTTGTACCTTGCTGCTTCTCTATATCTACAGTTAAAGAGGACCTTGACAATTTTCACTAAACTTCCCTTTAGAGACCAGTATAGTTTAGTGGTTTTGTTTCATTCCAGTGATTGAGCTATTCCAGGCTTAAGAAAAAACAATCACGTTTTCACGTAGTTGGTTTTTAATAAGAACTAGTGTAGAAGCTTAGGTATCAATTTACAATGTATTTTTTCCACTGAGAATGACAATATGTTGCGGAACAAAGCAGTTGGTGTAACCTGTTTATTTTGGTTTTTTCAGTGCAGAATATGGACGAAGAAAAAGAAATGCTTTTAGAATACAAGTTGAAAAAGGTAATTCTGTTAGTATTATGTCCAAGATGCCAAATTCTTTGATTATGCTTTGGCTGTTTTCTCATCATGTTTGAACTTTTTCTTTCAGTGTTTGGAATAATCAGTAATGAAAAAGAATGCGAAGATTTAGCAGTTTTAGAAGCTGAACATGTGGCAAAAAGAGCAAGACAACAAGAGAAAAATGCGTAATAAGAGTTTTTATTATTGGATTACTTTAAGAATGCCATTAGTATTATCATTTCTTTAAAGCTTTCTGTCTTCATGTTATTAAATCTTGGTAGTTTCAAGGTTACAGATAGATCCTTGATTTCCCTTAGGCTTGTCTTCATCAGAAGTTACCTGTAGTTGATAGAAGCACTTTTTTCACTGAAGACAAGCAGATACTAGAGCCAATCATGATTTCTTTGTTATAGGGAACATACAGCCCTGAATTAGTAGATATCCTTGGGGCTTCCTTGATAGTTTTCCACATAAGGTCCCAATCCTCATGTGATTCAGTTCCTTTGTTTTGTTTTTTCTTAATCTTTCTTGGGTGTGAGAGATATTAGCTAAATCCGAGAGATAAGACTACAAGACAGGCTATTCAGAGTAAATCACTACTGGCTATGAGATTGGAATTAAGATTTCCTAACTTTTAACCCTGTGCATAGTCTCATGGACCATTCTGGTTTCTCTAACCTGTGATAGATGTTAAGGGTCTCATGAGCAATTAGGACATTGTAATCCAAAGGACTAGTCTAGTTCAGCAGTGATTTGCTACCACTTCCCTTGTGCCAGCATTGGTGATTGTGTGATCTATTGGTGAACTGAATCAGATTGATTTGACATCACTTTTTTTTAAGACTGTCTTTCAGCCAGGTTGCCAAGTTGATCCAACTCATCCTTGGAAATGATGCATTTTTTAACTCTTCATAGTAGTAAATTTAGAGCGTGCTGGTCAGGAGTTTTTCTCCAGTCTTAGGCTACATATCATGGTTGTGGGGAACTGTGTTGTGGAAATTGCATTTGTTCATTTTTGTGGGTGTCTCACCTGCAGTTCTGCTCTGGTACTTTAATTTTTTTTTTCTTCCTTGCATGTAAAGGACTGCAGGAAGTGCCACAGATGTCTCTGATTATGATGATTATCCAGAAGATCTAGTAAGTTGTATTTTATTGTGATTGTTTGTATTTGCATAACACATGATTCTGTGTTACGAAATTGTAATGCACTTGTAGAGTTTAAAAGTGGAGATGAACATGAGGTGTAGCTGGAGTTGGCAGTTCCAACTGAGAATCTATAGAGCTAAAAGGAAGCTATTTTCTGAAGAAAAAGGAAGAACCTGTTGTGGGGACTCACTTTGAAGGAAAGCACACTAGGGGCCCAAAAGACTTGGCTATCAAATGAAATGATTGAAGGAACTGACACATCTGACTTTTACTGGCAAAGGCTGTTGCCTCTTCAGCCAGAAGGTGTAGTTTTGTATGCAGTCATTTGATTTGCAGAGGAGTGGGTTGGAAGATGCAGGACTACTTTCTCCAGCGAGGATGCTAACTGAGGTTAATGAAAGTTTTCATTGGTCTCTTAATATAAATAATCCAAATTATAACTTGTATCTTTTCTTTTAAAATACATTAATCTGCAGTCTACAAATCATATGAACAGTTCCCTGCTGAGCTTATACAAGAAAGGAAATCCCGATTCTGTACCAACCACTCCAAAAGATGACCCAATGGAAACCCCCCCTCCTGTGCGAACACCTCCTCAGACACGCACCCTCTCACCAGGAACAAGAGTTGAAACGCGCATCTCTGAAGCGGGCTGGTTCATTGATAAAACTCCGTGTGAAAAACGCTTTTTCATTGACCTTTCTGAGGATGGAGAAGGAGATGAGAAGAAACTGATTTCTGAGGTATTATGTTTTACAAACTCAATGTGATTTAAGTAGCAAGTATGAATATAATTTCCTGTGTGATTTGACAGGCTTTTGAAGGGTGATACTAAGGCCAAAAGGACTGTCTGTCTTTCTGGATTTTTAAAACGTATCATTTTTGTCACAAACACGCATGCTGTGTTTAAAGATAGTGAACATGTTAAATAGAAGGGAAAGATTGGCTTAAGCCCAGTGGAGTATTTGTTTTTAGCTTGGTTTCTGAAGAAGGGCTTAGCTCATTTTTCTGCTGCGTCAGAAGTGATTTTTGAACCTTCTGGCCCATTTCAAGCATGTTTGTATGGGGCGTAAAAAGTCACAAAATTATGAATTTCCTCCACATTTTTTGAGGAAAATGTAGTGCTCAGTATTAGGGAGACCCAGATTACTGCCCATACTGAGAGAAAGATAAGTGGAACTTAGCTGGTATTTATTCCGTTTGCCAGTGACCAGCCTAACTAGTCAGGAAGCATGTGGCTTGCTGTAGCCATAGCATGTAGTCTCCCTTAGCCAGGGGTTAAGTCTTAGTGAGCCTGGGGAAAGCTGAAGTTTTTTAGATGGACAAGAGTTGGGGAAGTTGAAAGGAAATTGCATTGATTTATAAAGCAGTTAAAAATAGGTCCTACTCCCCATCCAGACATATTGCCCACTTTGTGACCCCCCCAACTTTTTTTCTTATTTAGAAAAAAACAACTTTGTTCAGCTATTGAAAATTTTCCATTTATGCATGGGAGATAACATTTATGTTGTTTGGCTGACCAGACATTTTGGCAGGATGCTCTTTTTTACGTGAAGGACGAACCACATTTACATCTACCTTTCTGATTACGCAAAATGCTTACTGAATAGGCACATTTGACAAATAATGCCTTTATCCTAGTAGTACTGCATCCTCTTATGTAAAGAAATTGAATAAAAGGGAGATCTTCAACTTGTAATGTTTGCAATACTGTATTCTAACAAAAAAAAACAACAAAAAACCTAACTTTCATTGAATCTCTTTTTTTTTTTTTAATTTCTCCTGTATTAGTCCTTTTCTTCCATGCAGTTAACTTGTGTCAGCACTGAATATTTTCTTACAGCCACTCATGACTTACTAGTAATAAAAATTTGTTTCCATTGGAGTAAATATGTTGATATAGTTTTATTCATCCCCAAAGTGGATTGCTCTGTGGTATGCAAATAACTGGTGTCTGATTTTGGTTAGTGGTTTTGGGGGTTTGTTTGGGGTTTTTTTGCTTATAAGTATGTGCTTTTAGTGAAAAAGTGACTGGTGTAATTAACCCTTTTAAAAAAAAAAAAAGCCAAATCCTAAGTAAAAAGAAAAAAAGATTTTCTACAAAAAGAAGGGGTTAAATTCAGTGACAAGCCTTGCTTGTCTTTATTCATATGATGTGTGCAAGTTAAGCATCATAGACACATACACATTCTGTTCTTTTAAGTATTTGCAGAAATTCACTGACTTGGAAGGTTTTGTATATTTGAGTCTGGTTTTATGCCCTAGAAATCAACAGAATTCTCTGTCTTGGAGAGTGAAAGAAAGAAGACAAAGGGTAAGAGAGCAAAAAGGAAAAAAGAAGAATTTCCAGATGTAGATGGAGAAATTGATTCCATCTTACTTAAAGAGAAAGGTGAGAAGTTATTTTTGGCGTGCTGCTCCAAACAAAGAGATGGTATTTGACCATGGAATGCCTTACCAGAGAAGTGTTTTCTGAGGTGTACAGAAGTGACCTTGAGCTTTTTGTTAAGAAATTTAGCCTTAATGTTGTACTCAAAAAATATTCCAGTCCTGTGTCTACTACCGAAAAATAATACTACTCCATGTACTTAGCTAATTGTGTAGGCTGAGTACTTTCTTGCTCGGTGTTAGCAACTACTATTATGCCATGTCTAAATTTGCCTGACTTTTCCTCCTTAACAGTTAGAAGTAAGAGACCAGAGCTTTACCATCCTTCAGTGAAGTTTGAGGATGTAGGAGGCAATGATGAAACTTTAAAGGTTAGTTAAAATTTATTTGTGGGATGCAGAATGCACTGAATAAAATGTCGCATAAAAAATGACAAAGAAGAAATCTGGCAGAATTCATCTACATGGAAAATAGCTGCTTATACCAACAGCAACAAAGTTTTGGGTTTTTTCCTTTGATTAATCTTTCTGAAAGCAGTCACTGAAATTACATTAATAAAAAGAACTTGCTTTATTTTGGCCTGTCTATAATATTAGCAATCTATAATACTAATTTCTGCAATTTAAATGGATGTCTCTCGTTCTTAACAGGAAATATGCCAGATGCTCATTCATGTCCGTCATCCCGAAGTCTATAACCACTTAGGTGTGGTTCCACCTCGCGGTTTTCTTTTACATGGACCACCAGGATGTGGAAAGACACTACTTGCTCAGGCAATTGCTGGGGTGAGATAGCTTTAAATTTACAGTTTCTTCTTTTTCTGAATTGTATTTAGAGAGGAAAAAAAATAATCCTCCTTCATGATAGAGTAGATATTTTCCTCTTTTTTATCTCTTCTCTCCTTCCTATCTTAGTCTAAAACATACTCACCTTCACTTCCTTTGTTTAAATTCCATCTGAATCTGTACTTGATAGAACCTCATGTATGAAGAGGGGACATAGTGACAAGGTTTTATGTTTGACTTAATTATTTTGAGGCATTCCCAGGACAGCAATATAGGCATGGGTATAGAAGGCTATAAATGGAAGATACTTTTGGTTAAATTTACCATAGTGTTTTGTTTTAAGTCTGCACTCAATCTTACCATCTTTTATGAGGCATTACATTGATTCTATTGGGTGGCATCCATTAAACAGTGATTTCTGAATTCCAAAACTGGATGTTGCCTGGCCTGTGTCAAACTAAATGATTTCAGAGCAATGACGTTATTGGTGTTAATAGTTTGGTGTGTGGTGAGGGTGCTGTACTGCTATGTGCCTGGTTTGGATATAAATCTAGGGGCTATTTAGGGCTATTCAGTGATAACCATGGACATTTATTTTTCTTTAATACAGTTGTTCCTTAAATGTCACAGTTTATAACCTTAAATTTAGATGTATGTAAATTATGAACTTTCATAGTGCAGATTTTATCTTTGAAAGAAAATACTGATGCTTATGCTTATTCCTTCTGACATTATGTTTCAACTGTTTTAATTAAAAAGATTTGGGTTTTTTCTTTTTAATGCCTTACTGTAAAAAGGTACCCATTCGATGAATCTGTGATATTTAATACTGCAGTGCGTATTTGTATCCTGGAAGGTTACTAAATTTGGGGAAAGAAACATGACACAAGTGAAAAATTTGCAGAGATGAGATAAATTTAATGACTACTTCTTAAATATTTTTTCTTAAATAAGAGATTTTCAATAGTGCTATTTAAGGCAAATTATCTCCTTCAAGCCCCAGGTAGTGCCTCTGGTGGCTGTGATTTGTATAAATTATGATTTTTTTTTTTTTTTTTTTATATGTAGTTCAAAGAGCTTGAAATAGGCTGCAACTACCTGTAGCATTACTCTGCTACAGGCTATCAAAGTTACAATTTTATTAATTTATTTTAATAGCAGAAAACCTTGAGTGTGAGCTTTACAAGTATCTTATTGTACAGTCCTGCTTAGATATTTCTGGAGCAAGACTAAGGGAACCACATCTGGTGGGGTCTCTTCCACACTGCTAAGCAATGCTTTGTTACAGATGGAAATAGACAATTTTCTCAAGAAGGGAGCCTAAGCATGAACTGAAATATATATGTCGTAAAGGATTGGGTTGGGGACCAAGGTGCAAAGCTATTTGACAGTGCAGTTGTTCTCGAACTGAATTAGGGAAACCTGATTTTTGTATCCATTTCTGTTCACTTGGCCAAATGGCTCAGACACATTTTAAATTGGAGGATGCTACTCATTTTTTAAAAAACTCTTTAAGATTTAGTCTTGATTACATAATCTTTGGGTGTAAAAGATGTCATATTGGAAAATATTTGTCCTCTAGGACAGCCAAAATTTCTAACCTCTGGATGTATCACGCAGTATTCCTTGTCTCTTTCAGGAGCTTGAGCTCCCGATGCTGAGAGTGGCAGCAACGGAGGTGGTGTCTGGAGTGTCAGGGGAATCTGAGCAGAAACTGAGAGAATTGTTTGAGCAGGCTGTGGTGAGACGCTCACTGGAAATAACACTGTGAATTGTTTGTCCTTCCCTTTGTAAAGATTCATACTTTGTTGCTGTGTTTTGAATTTGAGTGAATATTAGTGAGTGAATCTTTATACTGCTGCACACAAGTCATAGTGTCTCTCCTTCTGTGGCCAGAATTCCATTGTACTAAGTGTCATGCTGTTATAGAACACAAAGATTACTATTCTGAAATCTTGACAAAAGATAGTTCATCGTATCAGTGTAAAGGGAGCAACATAAATTATTTACCTATTTGGAGCTGCTTGGCTTGATTTATAAAAATAGAAAAGATGTAAGAGCAGTTTACCGTGCTTTTTTGTTACAAGGGGGTTTTTTTGCTGTTTTTGTATGGCATGGAATTCGAGTGAATGCGAGGGGCTTAAGACTTTGGAATTTTAGGTATAAAGTAAGAAATTTGGGACAAATATCGTAAAAGCAGGAGTCAAGTTACAGTTGAAGTCTTGCTTTGGTGCAAATTTCAGACTTAGTAAGAAGGAAAGAGAACCAGACAGGTTGAGATAATTTTAATTTAAACAAATGCAGATTTTTCTTTTTTTAGCATGTGGCTAATGTTTTATTTCATGAGGACAGTTTTCTGCTCCCGATGTCTGGGAACGTTCTGGTTTTCCAACTTTATTCCGTTCTTCTACTCTCGCCCACAACTATATAGGTGCTTAGAGTACGTTCCTGTATAAAAGGATGCTAAACAGGGCAAAAGGAGTGATTGTGAAGCTCTTAGATTATTATGTTTCCGGTTCATATGACATTTTAATTTTTAGAAAGCCCTGTTAAGATGTTTAGAATAAAATTAAATAAATGATTGTACAGAGTTTTCAGACATTACATATCTTTTGTATGTAGAGTGATTGAGGGAAGGTTGCTATAAAAATTATTTTTGAAAAAATGTATTGTATAAAATCTGTTTAAAAATAAAAGTCTGTTGCCTTTCTTATAGTCCCTCACATTCACTTAAGTGGCTTCCACTTAGTTTTTGTACCAATTTTTGTGCAGGGGATAAAAAAAGACTTAGTTCCACTGTACCTTGTGCACGTACTGTGGAATCTTTACAGCTTAGTTGCATTTTTTTCCTCTATCAAGTAGAGGAAAAGTGAGTGACAACTAGATGGCGCAGTTGCTACCTGGTAACACAGAATGCTTGGGGTTTAAAATACTATTTTTTTTATATGGGACTCTTTCTGAAGATGATTCTAGTGTTTTTCTTAAGTATTCGTTTGCACTGCTAGTGCTTTTTGAGGGTATTAATAATCTTATGTCAGTTAAACACTATTCTCTTCTATTAGTTACACTAATTATTATTCTATATTTGTGTTGGCTTTTTATGAACGTGATGTACACAGAATTTTAGAACACTTGTAGGAGTTGCTCATTGCTCATTTTTACTGTTTGAACATGGTCAGGCTCTATAGTAATCTTGAAGTTGGCAGATCATTTTTCATGACCACCTACTGCTCTTTTTATTTCATTATGTGTGTCAGTAATACTAGCTCTTGAAATTCCACAGCTCTAATGTCACTAACAAAACAAACAAACGGAAAAACCCAGACCTTTCTTGTCTGATTTTCTTTTTTTGGACTTAACCAAGTAAGCAGTCACAATGAAATATTTATGGAAAACATAAAGAAACACAGAGGTGCACTTAAATTTTAAACAATATATAGAGACATTTTGAATGTCATACCTTAATTATTTCATAGGTTCAGCTCAGCACAGTTTCATAGTCTGGCAGCTCTCCAGATAGGCAATAAGAACAACAGAATTGTTCCAGGACAGGTTAATTGTGCAGCAGACTTACAGAAATAATTATAGAACAGAAAATCTGAAAAATTTCTTTCTCTCTTGTAATACACTATGTCAGTGTAATTTTGTAATTATTAATATTTCTTGTTCCTAGTCCAGTGCACCGTGTATCCTTTTCATTGACGAGATTGATGCAATCACCCCAAAAAGAGAAGTTGCATCAAAGGACATGGAGCGGAGAATTGTTGCTCAGTTCCTGACTTGTATGGATGGTCAGTTTCAGGAACATCTGTACTAAGCTAAACTTTCTAATTAACAGGCTCACTGTCTGCTTTCCTTCAGTAGTGACTCATGGTTACTTTAGTGGAGATAGTGGTAATAATTTTTCATATTTTGGCACAGTTTACCTGGGGGGTGGTGGGAAGATTCTAATAAATTTGTGGGGCTGTTACTACATTATTTTCACGGTGGTTTGTACAGCATTATATAAGCCTGTCTGTTGTATAAACAGATATAATGAGACAATGTATCAAATGTCATTTGAAATGCTTATTTTTGCTTGACTGTGCAAAATGCAAATTCTAGGTAGTAGAAACAAGGATGAACAGCAGTTTAGTATGACTGTTGGTTAGTTTATCTCTGCTGTTCTGAGTATTATTGTGTGCTGCAGAAGCAGTCACATAGATATCAGAACAAAGTTGAGATGGTAAGTGTGAGTACTAACTTCCTTCCTTCCTTCCTTTAGACTTGAATAACGTGGCTGCCACTACCCAGGTCCTTGTTATCGGAGCAACTAACAGACCTGACTCATTGGACCCCGCACTGAGGCGAGCTGGGAGATTTGATCGAGAAATTTGTTTAGGGATCCCAGATGAAGCGGCAAGAGAAAAGTATGTGTTCCAAAGTTTAAGCTTCTTTTTGATTAATTAATAAATAAGGAAATAATGTGTAAGTTAACATACAAATTAAGGAATAGTACTTTATTGTGTTTAGTCCTATTTGTGCCTGTACCTATGGATCAGCACATACTGGAAAGTGCAGAAGACATTAAGTGTGCATTTACTCTTTGTCTCGGTAGCCTGTTTGTTAGTCCTCTGAAGCACATACCTTAAGCAACAGGCCAAGATTCTTGCATTCCATTCCTCATGGAAATATACCAGTCCAGGCATTAAGCTGAGCTGCAGTCATCCTGTTTTGTGTAACTGGCCCTTTTTACACCAAAGATCCATGACCATCAGACTAGATTAAAAAAAAAAATTTTTTGCTTTTTTAATTAAAAAGGAACTGCTACTCATTTCCACAACAGCAGAAAACACAGGAAGGGAAGTGTGAAAACAGCTGTGGCTTATCTTGTTGCAGGAAGGAAAGAAAGGTTAAAGGATAAGTTCTTTCTAGCTCAACTAACCTGATTTCTAGGTTGAAAAAGCAAACTTTTCTGCCTGCAGCATTGCTCACTTTGTCTTGTCAGCACTACTGGCCATTATTCCACCATCCCCCGAACCCCTTCCGGCCATGCCTCCACTTTTTTTTTTTTCCCCTTCTTCCTGCAGATCTACAGCCCTGTAGTAATTATGTTCCTCTTCGTTGTGGGAAAGCATGCAAGTTGTTAGAGGTACAACTAAAGAGTTGACTGATGAGAGTTCTGGTTCTATGACATTTCTTAGGTTCACATTAAAAATATGATATTCCCAGAAACAGCACTTTTTCAAAGGATAAGAGTCGTGAATGGGAAAGCCGTCGTAGTGTGTGGAGATTGTTCACAAGTTAGAGTGTAGTCACATTCGTTCATATTATTGTTTTGTACAATTGTTTGTATTGTGTTCCTGGAGGTATGGGCTTACAGGAACTGTTGATTTTATTTTCTTTTTTAAGTTACCCCCTCCCCCCCGCTTTTCTGTTTTGGTTTGGTTTTGGAGTGGTTTTTGTTGGGGGGTTTTGTTCCTTTTTTTTAAATAAAAGGGTCATATAGAAACAGAAGTCCTTATAGTGTGCTGATTTACCACATACTAAATCAGTCTTGCTGAAGGCATGATTTGAACTGCTTAGCTGTGGTTCTACAGCCTTAGGGGGTTGGAGTGGGATGATGAGGTGTATGTACCTGGAGATCTTGCTTTACTGGCAATGTTTTCTTGTGCATGTATGAAGCACGTGAAGGAAAATAATATATGTAGGACACAAATTCGGAATGAGCCATTTACAGTTCTTAACTTTTTACACTTTGAGTCACTTGATTAGCTACAGCTGTTGTCAGACAGGTTGAAAAATTCTTGAGAATCAAGCTAATATCGCTAATAAAGATTTAAATGAGAGATGATGGAACTTGTTAGTGAGGGAGGCAAACAGATGAAACGTATTATAATTTCAGAGTTTTGAATAGATTAATAACTTGTTCTTTTCGTAACTTTTCTTTAATTACGTTACTTGATCTGGAAATAATTTCAACTAGTTTTCATTGGAACTAGAAAGTATATTAATGATCTTCACTTCTTTGGTTTGTGCTGCCTTTTAAAAATATTTTCCCAATAAAGTGATGTTTTGCCGTTTTAAACGAGTTGATTTGATCCCTCTGCTCAGAGTTCTTCAGCGCCAGTATTTGTGCGATGACATTGGCTTTTGTCTTTTTTTTGACTATTCATGTAGTTTTCAGTTGTCCTTGGCTTAGAAGAACAGCTGGAAGCCTTGGTGGACCTTGAAGAAGGTTCTTAAAGCTTCAGCCTTGATACAGAGTGAAAACTCCCATTAAAAAAATAAAGTGTGAAGCATAGCACTTCACTGTCAGTTACGTAGAGCTGTTTGTATTAGTGATGGAACTGCATAGGTAGGTGTAACTTTAGCTTTTGAATGAGGATGAGGTAACACGCAGTGTACACGTAAGCTGTGTGTGCCTGTTGGAAATTTTACTGGGGACGCACGAAATATCTGCAGTTATATTCTGTTGACAATGGTAGGGGAAAGATACTGAAGATTAAAAGACAGAGCTCCTCACACAGTCTGATTTCATTTGCTCCTTGCAGAATAATTTGTTGTGGATGTTCTTCAATAAATAAATAGAAGTGGGATAGAACGGACAATGCAGACTGAGGTTGTTAGGAATACAAGGTTAAATATCTTAATGCATAACTTGTGTGCATCTCTGTGGTACACTCTGAGATCTACTCTGTCAATTTTGAATCATAAACTAAGGTTTAAAGAATCTATAATATGTAGATTCACCAAAACTAGCTTTTACCCACTGATAGACATTGCCTGGTTGATGCTGTTGGTTTTCGTTTAAGAACTGAAAGGAAATACATAGCATTGTTTTGTGGGTTTCAGTGTTGGTTTCTTCCTAGTTGAGTGAAAACTCTTCCCACTGTACTACTTCAGTTCATGTGGACTGGAATCAATGCTGTTCGTTTTCACACGAAAATAAAAAAAGCCACAGCTTCATCTTTATTTTGTTGTTCTTTTTCTCCCTACTTGATCAGAATTCTTCGGACTTTGTGTCGAAAACTTAAACTCCCGGAATCCTTTGAATTTCATCATTTAGCACGGCTGACTCCAGGTTATGTAGGTGCTGATCTCATGGCACTTTGTCGTGAGGCAGCTATGTGCACAGTGAACAGGGTCCTCACAAAATCTGAAAAGCAGAAAAGGAAACACATACATGCTGGAGGAAACACAGCTGAAGAAAGCATGAGAATAGGAACAGGCATCCTGGTGGAAGAGGATACCAAACAAGTAGAACTTCCTCATAAGGTATTTGTTCCTTGAAGCATGTGCCTCTAATATCTTAAGAATTGAGCCATTTTATAGTTGTGAAAGTCATTGCTCATAAATCCTTAAACATCTATGGCCAACATAATATTAAATTTAGATTTAGAAATATCAGCTCCTAAGCCAGAAGGTTAATTCCTAATGACCCATATAATGGGTCTAAATAAGTGACTCCCAAACCCCCACCTTCTAAAAATTGTGTTAGTATTTTATGCAAGGTGTGGTTTTTTTTTTCCTTGGGTTTTTCGCTGTTGTTGTTGTTTGTGTTGTGCTGTCTTGTTTTCTAGCAGACCAGAGGTTAAAATAGCATCTATATCTCTCTTCAGAAGTGTATCAACTGTAAGAGAATTGTAAAAATATCAGACTTGCACTGAGTTTTTACCAAGCTGTTTGTTGTGCCCTCAGTGAAATATCTGTTATGATGCCTGGGGCTCTTCCCTGACCTGGTATAGTTACAGTTAGCCAAACTCTAGAAGTATTTATGCAGTCTACATTTTCCCTCCAGCTATGAGATTACTTGGGGTAAATTGCATGTGGTATCTAGTACGTATAGCAAGTTTGAGGAAGAGATATCTATCCAGTAGAAAAGTTGGGTTAGCAATGTGATTTGAGCTGCAGAGAAAGTACCTGTTAATGTGCAGTACAGCTGGAATTCTGTTGCAGAAAATAGCATTTCCAGTGTCAGAATTATTCTGTGGCCCAAGTAACATGCTGTGGTCAGTGAACCAGAACGTTGTTATATAGAAATTCTTGGCCCTACTTCTCAAAATTTGGAGTGTGTATGTGCCTTCATTATGTGGAGGCTTCCTAAAGATTTGTCTGGAGAAGTAAAACAAAGTGGTTTTAAATCCACATTGTACTCAGATTCTGGTTTTAGAAGGACTGTCAAAGAAAACTCTTATTGTAATTAACAAAAAACAGTGTAAAAAGCTGTAGTAAGTCTTTGTATTAGAGTAACATGATCATACTGCGTACCTCTCAGTGTTTCCTGGGGCCTGATGTAGCCAAAAGAAAGCGGGGAGGGGCAGGTAGTTGCAGCTTTTATCAACATCACCGTGATCAAAGGGGTTATTGAGGATGAGGAAGTCTAATCCTAACAGAGCCATATTTTGATAGCTGGCAGGAGGTTGACATAGTCCAGTACAGGGTATTGTCATTAAAACCGTAATATTATGTTTATAATGGGAAAATAAACATACAAAACCTTTAAAAATCATTCACACAATTCAAGTAAACAAGCCCAGTGGTCTAGGCTATTTCAGAGTTTCTCCTAATGGTTCTGTTAAGAAGAGGAGGGAGGGCTTAAAAGGAATATCAGGCACTATAAATTATTTCTTTGTCATCAGTTGTAGAGCTATCGTAGTTGCAATAAATAGGAAGTGATACTTTTCCCATGTACTGCTGTAGGAAAATTGTGGAAACTTTAACAGAGTTTTTACATTTTTTTTTTTCCTCCCTCTATCTTATAATGAAAATCCTGGTATAGTTTTACTTGTGGTACAGTCTCAATTTGCTTTGATACTGCCTTTCCATATTAGAACTGGGATGTATTTATGTTGTGAAGGTATAAAGTTCTTTGATCAAGTATTTTCTCAGTTTCCCCGATAAGGAACTATTTGGGGAAATTGGAACGTACCTGCCTGGGGCGCTGTAGTCTGCAAGATGGGACAGTGTTGAAAAGCATTACCCTGTATCTCTATTCTGTTTGCTCAGACTTTCTCAGGGCCTGGTTACAAAACCAGGTCTGATCAGCCTGAGGAAATGAGTTGATGACTTGAAATCAGATTATGTTAAAAAGTGTGTGTTAAGAGATTTAAACGTTTATATGTTTCAGAATACTCCGCAAATTGTTGAAATTGTGCTGTTCAGCAGAGTTGTTCACTTTCTCTTCAGAGCAATTTCTTACTAAAAACATAATTAATACATATATTGGAAATTTCAGCATGGAAAGAACTTTCTCCTAATCAGTGTGGGAGAAACAGTAGGAAGAATTTGAAGACAAAAATACATGTGCTAGCTCTGTTTCTGTAGTATCTAAATCAAGATTGTAGTCTGTCAGCTCAACGCTTTCACAAGTGTTAAATGTTCCAGGAAGGCACTATGTACATTTTTATCATTAATGTTAATTTTTAATGTTATTTTACATATTTTATGTGTATTGTACATAATAATTTGTTTTATAGTAATTAATACTACAGCTGAAGAAAGTATTGCTTTGAAAAAGCCCTGAAAAAATGGTTCTTAAAATCTAATCCGGTGCATAATCTTTTTCTCTCCCTTTCTGTATACCCTAAGGATGAATTGCAGAGACTTTTGGACTTGCTGAAAAAGCAAGACCCCTTGCCTGAGGAGCAGCTGCAGAAGCTGTGCATTGAGATGAATGATTTTATTGTTGCACTGTCATCAGTGCAACCCTCTGCCAAGAGAGAAGGCTTTGTCACAATTCCTGATGTGACATGGGCAGATATCGGAGCCCTGGAGGATGTTCGGGAAGAGCTGACTATGGCAATATTGGTATGTCTTAATCTTACTTTCAAAGATTTTTGGCAATTGACCCTATGCAGGAAATAAAACTCTGCTTGTTTGTTTTTTAATATTTATTTAAGGTATAATGTGCTGCCCATGAGTTCTAAGATGCTACAAACTAGAAATTTTGGAACATCTTCATTTAAAGTAGTCACACTTCTGTAATTTGTTTTCAAATTTGTTACTAGTCTGGTGCATGTATTTAACGTTTCACGTACTGTATTCATGCTTTCAGTTTTCAGTATGTTCATTATTGCTGAATCTTTAGTACTCTAAAAGTTTTGTACCAATAACCTTAGTTACACAACTGCCACACAAAGAATTGGAGACTACTTAGCTGGAGGGTTAGCAGTCTTGCTGCCAGTCAGAGGGATACTTAACACTAACGCCTTAAGATGAGAACTTAGGTAAATAAAATCTTTGCCTCTGAATGATACTTCTCCCATTTTAGGGTACTTATCAGTGCAAGATAGTAAGATGCTGATCAACTGTTTATTCTTTTAGCCTATAAAGAATTGGAATAAAGAATGATTATGAATGATTTTTCATCCAATTGTAACTGAAATGAAAAGCGTAATGTTATTTTTTTGTCACAGATGACTATGATAATTTATTTTATAGGCACCTGTGCGAAACCCAGAGCAGTTTAAAGCTCTGGGCCTGACTACTCCAGCTGGTGTCCTGCTTGCAGGGCCTCCGGGGTGTGGCAAAACACTGTTAGCTAAGGTAATACATTTTCTAAACATGTTTAAAAATACTGGAGAATCTTCTTGAAGTGGATGTTTTTGTAGGAATGACTGAGTCTGGAAGAGGATACCAAACAACTAGAAGTTGGGCTTTTGCACCAGTTCTCATCAGAAGATTAAATTTGGGCCTCTGTGCTAAAGTTATTTGATTTTCTTGTCGTAACGTTACAATTTTGCTTGAATTGAGAGGGAATTACTGCAAAACTTGAAGGAATGAAGTTGGTTAAGAAGAAAGTAGCAAAGATAGGAAGAAACTCTATTAGATAACCGCTTCTATGGAATATTTCACTGTAACTAAATTATATATTTGAAAGTAGCCTACGGTCTATTATATTTATGTATTTTTATTTATTATATTTACCTTAGCAAAAATACTTCTGTTTTCCTTCTCCTCGACCATTTCAGTTCTTATGGCCTCCACATGTAAATGCAGATAATATTCAAGTTTCCAGATTGTCACTCATCTTTGTCTTCAGATGTTTTTATGTAGTTGAATATCTTTTTAACTCCCACTAATTATTGAGAATTCTTCAGCTAATATGGGGGAGGGGGGGGTGTGTGAATCTGGAACTTATTAAAGAGAGAGAACACCTTGCTAAATTCCCTGCCCCCCTCCCACTCTTAATTGCATATAATTATACTTTGTACTGTTTTCTGTATTTTACAAACAGTTGATAATTATGCTCCTTCCCTTAATTTTGTTTATTGCTCCATGGACAGAACCGAAGAAAATACGAAAAATGTGTGGTTTATATATACATCTGTCTTTCCTTTTTTGACAGGCCGTGGCAAATGAGTCTGGACTGAACTTCATATCTGTGAAAGGTCCTGAACTGCTAAATATGGTATGCATTGATCATTGTGCTTTTGTTATTTATGGAATTCCTGTCCAAACCATGGGGCAAGCAAAATTCCTGATAATTACACAACTGATGGTGGTGCAACTGAAGTTGCGTTATTTAACCTCTGCTTAAAGTTTTTAGCAGTGAAGTTGTTCATGTGAAAAGAAAAAAGCTATCTGGGTAGTTTAACTATGTATCTTGGTTTAAATTACCTGGCAGATGGAGCATTCTTGACTGAAGTAGGATTTCTAAATGACCAACTACATGCATCATTGCTTTTATATAGATCAGGAAAAAGAAGAAAAATTCATATCTACAGTGAGAACAATTAGTGATCAGTAGCTGCAAATCAGCAGCTTTCACTAAGCAAAATGAAATTTTCAACTTTCAAGTTCGGAAAACATGTTTTGCCAGTCATTTTAGCTTCTTAATGGAAGTTTGAAGCCTTGGAAAGCAATGTGGTTTTTTAGTTGATCACAGTGTTTTTTAAAGATTTTGAATATTAACAGATAAAAGTGCTGTAGTCTGAGTTTTTGAAGCACTGGACTTAGAAGTGTTGTGATATAACTTTGGACTTCGGTCCCTTTTAGAGTTAAGAGAATGTGCTGAACTGAGCAAGGCAGCTGCAGCCCACATCTCGGAAGACCATAGCAGTTACCTGTTTATCAATAATGTGGAAGCTAAAGCCAGAATACTGGATTTGATTATTCTTTTCCCAAATGTTTTTTTTATGTACGATACAGGCAGGAAATAGAACTCTTAAGTTAATGAGGCGCCCTACTTCCTTGTGGAGTAAAGAGAAAATGTCTGGCTGTGATTCAGAGACTGCGTTAAGACATAAATTGTATCAAAACATGTTTGTTTGGAAAAAAACGAAGTGTTTGCATTTACAACTTGGCAACCCCCGCCCCTGCAATTTGCCATTCAAAGTGAAATTCTGGCTTACTTTTCAGTTCCCTACCGCCAAACCCCCAGTCTTCAGGCAACTACTATATGAACTTCAGATGTTCATCATGTTCAAATTGCTTACTGGGTTTGTTTATGAACAGTTGAAGAACAACAAAGTCCTTAATGAAGACTGTATTTTTTAATTCTCATCAGCAGAATGATGGCAAGTTAGATTTATTCCCCAGAAAGTAGGAATTCTATTAAACTCTGAATGTACTGCAAACTGTCAAAAGTGAGTTAGTGACAACTAGTTCCCATGTAAATCGTGATCAGTAAGGAAATAGAGATAACAGACTGTTATCAGAAGTAAACTGGTTAGCAGGTTGCACTTCTCCCTTGTAAAGCATGTCAAATAGTGTTTAAAACAGTGATTATTTTTTTTTTCCAAGCAAAATCTTCATGTCTTACATTGTTTCACTGTGATTTGTCATTTGTTTTAGTATGTTGGTGAAAGTGAACGTGCTGTACGTCAGGTATTCCAGCGTGCCAGGAATTCAGCCCCTTGTGTTATATTTTTTGATGAAGTCGATGCTTTGTGCCCTCGGAGGTCTGACCGTGAAGTGAGTCCATCTTAAAATATCTCCATGAATAAATTAACTCAGTTGCAGCATTTGCGGCATTGTGCTAGCAACAGAAGTAACTGGAAGGGTACTATGTTCAGTATCTCCCAAGAAAAACAACCCGATAAGCTTTCTCATATTGGAGGAAAAATACGTTTTTACTATCTGTGTATATGTATAAAATAATATCCAGAGAATGTGTGTATATCCACCAACTTGGCTGTGTAGAGCTGTAGGAAAAGCGGAAAGAATGCAGTTTAATGTGTTTAATTTATGGCCAAAACCTGATACCTGCATGCAACTGTAATGCTCGCATCAAGTATGTATTGATTTGAACAGCGTGAACTGGGTCATGAAAATATTTGAGGCAGGAGCGTAAGTGGAATGTATTAGACTTCAGAGCTATTCCACCTGTGAAGTTTTCCCTGTTTTGATTTTTTGTTTTGGAATAGGAACTACCTACACCTAGAATTAACTTCTGCTTTTGGGGGGGTTGCTTTCTTAGCACGAACTGTTAGTGTGTTGAAAGGAAAGCTGTTCTGGTTTTTATGCAGAGGAAGTGCATCTGTTTTATGATACCGTACTGGTGCATGTATGTTGATGGCTGAAAGACAAGATTTTTTTTTTTCAACAGACAAGTTAAGTACAGTACTGTTCAGATATTGCCATCAACGACTTTAACAGAAAGACTGTAGTTCCAGTCTGTAGGAGACAGGAAGTTTCATCAACTGTTTCGGAGTCATATCTTGTCCTCTGAATTTGCACACTTCACTTCTATGAAAGATAGCTAAGCTGAAAAGTTCAGACTTGACTTCTTAAACGTCCTGAGGTGGTGGTTCTCACAGAGCCATAAAAGAAGGTGTCCAGTACTAGGGACAGCAGTAGGCGTAGATTGGTAGCCAAGGAGGGGGAGCAAGTGTGCTTTGGCCTCACTGTATTTCACTTCTGTGGCAGCAGCAGCAGGCAGCAACTTGGTGCCTAGAAGCCCACCCCTGCTCTTCACAGCCTCCTTTAACCATGTAGAGGTACTGTCTGGGCAGGAGACTGGTGACTGACTCGGGCTGTAATACTGGTGACAACCCTTGGGATTCATAATCGAAACTCAGGGGTATTTGGTGTTTCCATTGGCTTTTTGAGACCTATGTGCGTTTTCACCACATACTCTAATTATTCATAGGTGGATTTATATTTTAGTATGTTTAAAATAAAACAGTAACATTTAAAACAACATCCTTGAAAATCATCAAGCAGTTTTACTGCATAATTGAACTCTTGTTCTCCAGCTCCTGTGCTTTCTCCCTCTCTCTGTCTCCCCAACTCTAGAATGAAATTCAGATTAAGCTATTGAGTTTGGTTATAGCATGTCAGTACTATGGAGTTAACATTTAACTATGAGTAGCTCAGCTGCTGAAAGTTGTTTCAGAGGTTTAAATATTTGGAGAACTCTTTCCACCCCTCCCTCCCCCAAAAAAAACCTGAATATTGAGTAGTTTTGGGTGTTCTTGTTGAGATAGATGGGAGAATGATTAGTATAAATATCTATATGTACTTCTTCAAGTAAGTCCTTCATCTTTAATGGGAAAGAAAGGGTTTGCCACATGTTAAAATGTGTGGTGGGTGTATATGTAGCATAAATTTGGGGTGGAAACAAGCTAAGAATATCATAGTAGGAATCCAGAATGCAGCTACATTAAGAAACTTTTTCTTTGAATAGTATTTCAGGGCAGGGAGCTAGTAGATCTTTTGTTTCTTTTACTTTGAAATATTCACATTCCCACTGTTTCCTCAATTTTGTTGACAAATTTCTCCTTTTGAAGTCAGGAGCCAGTGTCCGAGTAGTTAACCAGTTACTCACAGAGATGGATGGTCTGGAGAATCGTCAGCAGGTTTTCATTATGGCTGCCACAAACAGGCCAGGTAAGGACCCAAAAATCATAAACTAGAGAAATCAAGCGTCATTGGTCTCTTCTAGTGAAATCATGTGTTCTTACATATTTGAATTCTATAACTAACCTTGTTCTGTACTTAAAATTACAATGCCTCCTCAAATCCATACCATTTCTGATCAATTAGTCTGTTCCACATTCTTGTGACAGTATGAGATGAAGCAACATCTTTAAAATGTGTCTTAATTAGCATCTGATACCATTGCTGTAAAATGCTTTGAAAGACCTTTGACTTAATCGTTCTCTGGATTATCTGCTTGGAACATTAAAGAACAAAAGAGAACTAAAACATAAATTACATATTTTTTGCTGCTTGCATTGATTTTCTATTCAAAGCAACCTTATAGTTTTCTGCTGGTTTTAATTGTTTTTCCCTTGAGGCATCTGTCTGATGTTAAATCATTTTTCCATTTGCTTATCTTTTGCTTCCCGGCCTTCATGTTCCACACTTGGCTTCCTCAGCCTGAACTTACTCTGTTGTTCCCTGATGTTCTGTGAAGCTTTGATACTGACTGCTATCTGTGCTCCCTTGCTGGCTCATCAATTTTTGGTAGCTTTTGCCATTCCTGCAGCATCTTCTTAGTTAATAAGCTAAACACTGACATGTACTTTACAAACATCATGTGTTTTACAGCCAACTTTCTGCCTCTCTTTTTTGTATTATGGACAAGTCTTGTGTTTTATACATAGCAAGAAACGTGTCTCTTCCTGAATTTGAACTCCATCTAGATGCCTGAGAGTTAGAAGTAAAGGAATTTGGTGTCAGTATAGAAAAAAACATAGGCATGAAGATGATGTACTTCCTGGGTTATGAACATTTTTCTGAATATTGCAACTGAAGTTAAATACAGGGTTACTTGTCTATCTTGGTATATGGTATATGGTATAACCATGCTGGTGTAGGTGCTAGCATTTTGGAAAGAACCTTTGCGCGTAGAGCATGTATTTGGCAAATTACTGGTAACAAGAAGACGCAGTTAGTTGTTTCACACATGCATGTATTAAGTAAGGGCAAGATGTAGAATTCTGATGAGAAATGGCTTAACAGGGAAAAATAGTAGCATAGCTACTTTGGATATAAATTGGAAGATGAGAAACTTAAAATACTTGACAGATTGCTTGGGTCCTATTAAGGACCTAAGATTAAGGAAAACTTGGTCTGAAATCACCTAAGATAGGCAAATATGACGTGGTTTTGGTTTTTTCCAATGGTCAAAAAATTCAAAGATCTTGAGGAAAATTTTCCTGTCTCTTGAATTCTTTGCACCATGACAGACCGTCAAGCCTTCTACATGGTGAAGTATGAGCAGTAGATGCTTAAATCTATATCTGCTTGTAGAAATTCTTTGATTTAACGTGGTAAATTTTCCTGGCATGAGCTTGATGATTCTGACCTATCTAATCCAATATAGAACGGAGAATAAGGTTATACAATGTAGCACATCTATATATAGATACAGTTGGATGTACCAAGGGTGTTAATACTAGTGTCATCAAGTTGCCTTAGGAAAGGGATCTCTCACTAAATTAGTTATGCTAGTGCAAGTATTTGTATCAAGCAGCCTTATTTGTTAGTATTTCTCAAGGGCTTCATAACTAATTGCCGATGACAGTAAACTCGTCATCATCACTGACTGGTAGCTTGGGGTGTGAATTCCAACGCTTTTGAAGTTGAGGAAACATCCAGCTTGACTTCCTGCAGTACCACCTCGGGTGTACCACAGGTATACATGGGGCGAATGCTTTTCGGGCCAGTGTGTGTACGTGGCACTGTTCTGAGCTAATGACTCCTCTCATAGAGGCAGCTGAGTGCAAGTAGTTCAGTAGCTTTACAAGGGCCAGTTTAGAGCAAATGTTGTTCAGACATTAATTTCAAGATATGAATACTTGTGTGTGGCAGGTTTGTCCTAATTCCCAGCTTTGCTGGGTTTAGATTTACACAGATACAGTACTTGCTTATGGGTCTCATTTTCTTGCATATATGAAATAGACATCTGTGCAATTGTTAATCCATCCCTTATAAGCCTTATACTGGATGCAGTTTTACCATTATGTTGGTATAAAGTACGTCTGTAATGGTTTTGGGGATTTCCCCCCCCCCAGTTTTAAAAAGTCACTGTGGCCTTGTTCAGCTGCAGTAGTAGATGTACTATTTTACTATACCGGGAATAGTTAAAATTACAAAACTTTCATGAGTAATGAGGGTTGAACTAATATTTAGGGAAGCTGGGAAATTTGTAAGGCATGAACTCAGCGGTGTATTACTAGCCAAGTGACATTGATGAAAAAAGTGAATTTGAGGTAAAAATGCCAAATGTAAAGAAAATGCAAAGGAGAGATAACAAATATAACCTATCAAATTGAAGGGTATAAATGTATCTGTAAATTCTGTAAATGGAAGTGAGCTATATCTTGATAAAGGAGTTGTTTTGCCAACATGATAAAATAATTTTTTCTGAACGGCAAAACTTGGCACATCCAACTTTTGCTAGAGGAGGCAATTATCTATGCAGTTTGGATAGGATGGATCTCTTGCTTCAGAAGGATATCAGCTGTGTGGATGAATAGTACTTTGGATAGGTTAGACTACAAACTTTTGCTGCAATATCTGCATTTGTCAGTTGTGAAGAAATACAGTTTCCAATTGATGCAGCTTTTATCAGAACAACTTTTACTGAAGTTGTGGTTAAATTGGGGAAATTGATTTTTTTCTTGTGTTGTTTATGGGGCTTAGGAAGAGGCAGTGTTCACCAAATTAAATTTTGCTAGTATGGTCTGGGTACTTAATAGGAGCACACTGCAGGCAGAGAACAGTGAAGTCTTTGCTAGTAAAGCACTCTTACCACCCTAAGAACGAAATTTCCAAGCAGAGACCTATAGGAGAACCATAGCTTATACTGGTTAGTATATTTAAATGATTCCTGCAGACAATAAAAGGTTATGGTGCCTGAAAAGCTCTTTTGCTTATGAGTCTGACATTTGTATGAAAGATTTTTCTGTCATAGTTATGTTGAATAGAGGTGCTGGGGTTGTGTAATATAAATCTGAATAATATATGTGTCCCAGCAGAACTTCCTGAAATCTTCCACTGGGCCAGTATTGTGAAGTGTGAGACCTCATCTTTTTTAATCAATGTTAGTATAATTTAATGGGAGAGAAAATGGCTTTTCAAGATGCTTCTTTTTTTAGAGTGGTTGCATGCATGGTAGCTTTTATGGTTGGTTGCTGTTACTGTTCATGACTGTTAGTGTATGTTGTCAGCATTGTAGACTCAGAGACCATCGTGCCAAAAGAAGAGTCTTCTCTCATAAAAATAATATTATTATAAAGAATAATAGTACTAGCAGTACCAGTGGCTCAACCATTTTAGCATCAAGTTACGTTCCTGGCACAGTTGTTCCAGTGAAGTGTTAGCACCTGTGACAAGGTATTACTGTGAAATGGTGGTATCTTACATACCCCATGGCTGAAGACTGCCAAATTCTTTGTTTATAATAGCCTTTAAGGACTTGGAACACTCTAATTCCCATTTTGCCAAAAGGGCAGGCACAATAGATTGGTTCCTTTGTTTATCATATACAGTCTGCAAGTGGTAATTCTTATTCTGGCAGTACTGAAATAAGCCTTTGATCTGTCCTTAAAAGCCGGATATTTGAATGTTTTTTGCACTTACTCAGTGACTTTGAAAGTCCTCTGTAGGTCTTTCTTGACTACTGCTAAATTAGCAGGGATGCAGTATTCCCAACTCAATCTCTTTCCACCTAAATGCAGAACCAATGACAAACTCTGTCTGAAGAGGATTAAACTTTTAAAGCACTCAATGTCATTAGAAAGAGAGAGAGGAAAAAAAAGAGGCAGAAATGTCATATTCTGTTAGAAACTTTATGGGTCAGAATAATTATATTCTTTTTCAGTCTACTTCCTTCCCCAAATCCAAGACTAAATACTTACAAAATGATCAAGCACTACTGTTAACTAAGGTCTGTAGTTTCCCCCAATTTTCTAGTTACCAGTGTGAGTTTCTGTATTTGGATACTGCTGCTTTCTGCTCTTTTCTTACTTCCCCAGGCTTTGAACATTTATAAACTCTTTAGAGAAATGCTGATCAAGGCATCAGCAGCATTTACCATGGGATCTAAGGAACTGTATGTAACCTGAGGAAACAGACAAGAAATCAGTGAAACACTACAAACTGATAGTGATGTAAGCTTGATGTAAATTGTGATGATGTCTTTGCTTTTATTCATGGTCTTTTTCTCTAGCTTTTTAAAATTGATTCTTGCAAAATTCCCCTTCTACTGTTATCTTAGAGCATGGTCCTAGTTTCAGTGAGTTCTATTTTTCTTTAGCAAGTTTATGGTAGTTTTCTAGAGCTATTCACCTGAACCACGTGTTTTGAAACTCAGTAAAAAAATAATCTTAAGTCTCTGACAATAGTTAAAGTTTTGGTTTGGGTTTTTTGTTTGTTATGTTTATACCTGTTTATACATGTTGCTGAATTAAAGGCAAGATGAGATCTAAGAAAAACATCTGATATGTTTGGCATGGAACAATTTCTTTCATCATAGTTCTAATTCACACAAATTATATTTCTGCGTTTCACCAGCCCTTGAATGTTATGTATCTTTCATGGTAACTTTAGTGGAGTTCGTTTGTTGTGTAGGAGCAAAGTTGTTAACTGCAGTGTTCATCTGGAGTCTCAGAAAACCTTTTAGGGCTTCTGAGCCTACGTTCCAGAACGTCACGAATGTGAGGACCTCGACCTTGTGTGCTTCAAATACAATTTTAAAAGCTGTAGTGAGTATAGGAGAAGTTCGATGGACTCAGCACAATAGTCGTTGTTGCTGGTATGCACTGAACTTTTGTAAACACTGTTGACTCCTGTAGCGTTGAGATAAGACATAAATAATCAACTGGAAATGAGTGTGAGACTAATAGATTTTATTATAGGACAATAGAATGTCATATTAGAGGGAGGCATGCAAAGGTATTTTCAATAGAATTTAATGAAGTGGAGAAAATTTTGCAGTAGTTTGGAGAGCAGTGTAGCAAACTGAAGTATTACATAATTCTCTAGAGGCAAGTGCCTGTTTTAACCTTTAAAAACGAAGCAAGGGATGGATGTACTCTAAATGTCTTCTTATGCAATTTTGCCAAATTATTTGGAAAATGGTACTACTGTCTTCTAAGGACATAGTCAACACCATTGACTACATCAGAAAACCAAGACAGAAAATTATTAACTAGATATTTCTCTTAATAGAAGTATATTCTGTCTGTGAGACAACTGCTTGGAAAAGAAGTGTTGTGTGTTACCATGTTTCACTTTCAAACTTGAGAGATAATAATAGGCTTGAAAGAGGTATCTATGATAACTACCATAATTTCATTAAAATGTTAAATGTGTCTAAAATTAGTTGACTTTCTTCTGTTTAGATAAGTTTCGGGATAATAGATATGGAGAGAACATTACAATTATCGGGATGGAATGCTTTGAAATTCCTAAAAGGGGAGCATTATTCAATTCTTTAAACAGATATGAAGTGCATCTAATGAATGAGTTTGACCAATGAGTAAATACTAATTTCTATGTTATGTGACTTGAATTTTCAAGAACTTCAAGTCCAGGCCTGAACCAGCAGAGTGAAGTGAATTGACTTATAAGGAGGTGGATGGGGAGTATAGATCTGTGTTTTAAACTTCGATATGGTCTTCTCATTGTAAACCACCATTACTGCAGCTTATTGAGTTAGTATGAGTTGTGGTAACTCTTTGAATGCAGGCAATGTAATCATTTACATACAAGTGGATGAATGCATCTTTAGACTGGATCGCTGTGTATCATTGGACAAATAGCATGGCAAGTGCCATGTTCTCAGCATGCAAAATGGAAACAGTATTTTCCGTATCAAGCTTAATATTTTTAAAGAGCTTTTGAAACTAGAATGGGGAAGTTATCAAGTGCGTGGTGTTGTAATGCAATCCCTATTGAGGGTATTTGTTTTGATGTTTGTAATTGATCTGTTGAGCGAACTTTGTCATCTGATCTTAATAACGTGGCAAGACTTCCATCCACAGAGACACAAAAACAGGAAAGTTCACTTTTACCAAAAGCAAGATAAACTATTACATAGCACTATGCACAGACATATAAGAAAGATGTTTTTGTCTAGGCCTGCCATGGCAGGGTTCCTGTTTAACCCTTGTTTCATCTGGTCTGGATTAAATTAACACATCAAGTTCTTCTTTTTTTCTCACCATTCTTGTCACACTCACAATAGCTGATTTTTGCCTACATAGATGCCTCTGGCCATGACTGTTGTATCTTGGGAAAAAAAATGGCTTTTGTCGAAGAAAAAGATAGTGGAGCAATTTTTAATGCATGCATCTCATTCTACTTTTTGTCCTTTAAGCATAGGTGAGAGAGTAACTTGAACAAAACTATGCACATCTTTAAAAAGTGAATCAAGACTACGTTGTGGTAGGATCAGGTAGCTGGAGTCTTGACAGAGTTAAGAAACTTTTTTCATTTGCAAAAAAGAGATAGCTGTGCTTCCATGCTACTGTTCTGGGGTTTGGGTGAGGGTTTTTTTGTTCGGGGTTTTTTTTTTCCTTCTAAACGTCTGTACAGTAAGGATTAACAGCTTAACTTTTCCCAGTTCTTCACCTTTAATATACATGAATGCATGTAATTTGTCTGTTAGCTGCTTTTTGTCAAGAGGATGTAATGATTGTAAGGGTGTTGACAGCTTCATTTGGAGCCCTTGATAGTTTCCAGCTTAAGGCTTAGTGTAACTTTAAACTGTTATTTTTGGATAAGGTTTTTGCAATAGCTACCTAACAGATCTATAGAACTTACAGGCTTCAAAAAAGTCTGTTATACTGAAAGTACAGTTTTAGTTTTCTTTATATCTTCTGAGGGTGCTTTTGTGACTTTATTGTTCATATTACTGTAGTATGTAGGATATGGATTATTAGAATCCCTTAGTGAAATAGAGCAAGTAATACCCTCATCATTTTTGGTAGATGGGGAAACGGGGCATCAAGAAGCATTTAGAAACGTCATCCAGGCAGTTCATGCTGAAACATGGACAGGAATTGAGGTCTTTCCCAGGTTATATGCCCTGTTTGTATCTGTTGTTATACCAGTTGTCCTCAGTATTTATATCCTGACTTACTGTTTGTGGAAGTTCAGTGTTGAAGCCCGTAGTGCTAAAAGGCTGCTAGACATTTCTATTACATTTAAGCTTTGAATGGTTTTCTAGAAACATTTGTGATGATTTTTGGTTTCTTACTTCTCCACACATATAAAATTTGGAGTTTGTAGATCTTCCTGGGAAACAAATTCTGTACTTTGCAGCTTTATTTTGTGTTTTCATGGGTTTCCTATTTTAACATTCAGAAAATTAATATGTAGTAGAAATGCAAATGACCAATAAAATTAAGTTTACATATGGGTGCTTATGATTGGCCTTGTGTACTTATTCTTAATTTATCATTGTGCCTTTCAAGCAGATACGCAACGGTTAATACAGGTAGAGTTCCTTCCAATAGAACAAACTGGAAGCATTTTTTTTCCCTTGTTATGAATTAATGTGGAATTCCTCACTTGACCATGCTGGGTATGACAGTAAAAATGTTCTAGTACTCTGTTGCCAAAGACAGAGTTGTCTTCATTTCTGAAGAGATTAAATTGTTATTTATGAGCCATCTTTGAGCAGATGTGGCTTAACTGTACTAGGTAGTAGAGGCTCCTACTTGACAGAGATGAAACTATTTCAATCAGCTATTTCAATGGTCAGAGCTTCACATCACGGCACAAATGCTTCTTTGAATCTAGGTACAAGTATGTATGTGTACACTTTCCTAAGGGTGTATCTCGTTTCTGGATAATTTTGTCTTTTTTTCTTTTTTCCCCCCTCCCTAAGATATAATTGACCCAGCTATCTTGCGTCCTGGTAGACTGGATAAAACACTTTATGTGGGTTTGCCACCACCTGAAGATCGACTTGCTATTTTAAAGACCATCACCAAAGTGAGTATTTGGAAATAAATCCTTATCTTGAAGCTTGGTGGAATGATTTAACACAAATCAAATTTTACAGAGAATTGCAGGATCCTGTCTCATGAAACACGAGGTCATAAAAAGAAACCATCAGCCACATCTGCTATTAAATTTGCTCCGAGACTGCAAGGGATTGATAAATCTTGTAAGGCAAACCTGTTAAACATAGAAACTGCTGCCTTTACAGTCACAGTTTGAACAGATTTAATTAAAAGATTCCTATCTGTGTGAGTAATGGACCTAGAAGTGTTTTGTAAGCTTTTTTGGGGAGGGTTTCCACACATTCACCAAAATGATTCACTAGCTCCAGCTGTATTTGCTCAACAGTAATTGTGACACTTAATTGCCTCTAGGATTAAAGGAAGCTTGTGATGATAGAGGTTGTGGGTCAAAGTGAATGTGAAAATCTAAAATACCTGCCTTCGTGGGTCCTCCCTGTGGTTAATGGTACATTCTGCCACTTCAGAGATTTGGATTATAGAATTGTGTTTGAGTATTTCTCTAAGTACGGTACAGGAGTAATCAAGGCCTTAAAGAAGGAACATACAAAGCATTATGAATTACTCAAATATTTCCTACTTTTTCCAGTAGATCAGCATTGATTGTTAAGAACAGGTGTCCTATCAGATTTTTTTTGAGCTGCAAAGGAGACCAAGTCTTCACTATAGAGAAAAGATAGCATTGTATTATGAAAAGTGTGGCAAAAATTATTTAACAAATTTGTAAAAAAAAAATTCAGACTGCCTAAGCATAAAGTTGTGGTGTAGGCAGTAGTTAATCCCATTGGAGAATTCCAAAAGTGAGGAGTCATTCAAGCATGTCCTTTCATGCCAAAATAGCTGTCGAAAAGTGAGGCTCTCGTTACAAATTCAGGATGTTAGACTTTCCTTCATTTGTTCTATGCATTACTTCATGGAGAAAAAAAATGTAAGTACGCCCCCATTTGCTATTAGCAGTAGATCAGTTTATTGTTTCTAGTTTTATAAAAATATTTCAGTTAAAACTTTTTACAATCCTATTGTTGAAGATGGTTGCCTTTTAAAAGACCTAGACAGAATTTGAATGTAACATCCATGAATCATTTTTCAAACATACTGTAAGGAAGTACATCTTTTATTTTACCAATTTATTTTTAAAGATAACTCAAATGGTTCTTTAAAAATTGGGCTTATATGATTGCTCTGACTTAATACAAACAACCTTTTTCTGGAAGAAGTTGGTAGTAAGCGTCAGTCACTAGACTGTCTAAACAGAGCAGAAGGATTCTGGTACGGAGTTTACATCTACTCTGGTTTTTAACATACAGGTATTGAGCCTTGCTCATCCTAATTTTTGCTGGAGAATCTTGAGATTTATAACTGTTTCAAGTGCTCCACTGTAATTAGTGGTATAGGAAAATAGTGCAGCAAAGCTTGGTGCAAGACTTCATGGGAGTGGAAGGTGGTACTAAACAAAACTGATTTCTCTCATACTCTTGCCGATTTCACTTGCTCACACTGTCAGAGCCACATATAGTCACCAAGATGCATGCATCCAAGTGGTAGGGCCAGGATCACTTGTGTGCAACAGCAAAGGAACTCTGTGTTGAGTCCTCACTTGATCTCTTGGCTTCCTCTTTACTGGTGATGACAAACTGGTTGTTAGAGAACTGTTTTCTAGATTCCCTTTAAGAATCAAACAGTTCAGAATCGTGCTTACTTCAGCTGCCATAAATCTTGGGCGAGCTTGCTGAAAAATGTCTTTGCTCCCTCCTTCTGGGAATCTAGGCTACAGTCTGTCTTCCTGTTGGGATAACAAGAGGAGTGGCACAGGTGATGTGGTAACCTTGTCATTATCCTGTTATCAGAGCATATTTGTCTTCTGCTGACAAACCATCTTTGCTATGGCCTTATCTGATTATGGGCCTTCCTGTGGTACAAGCAACGCATTGCATATGCTTACCAGCTTGGTTCCTGTGGATCCTGTCCTTGGTTATCAGGGCATGTTATTTTTGGAATGCCAGATACTTCCATGAATACTTAATTCATACTAGTCTTAATATTTTGGTTACAAATCTTTGTAGTGAATGAGGTGTTAAGTATTTAATGGATTCTTTTTCTCAGCTCTTAATTAAGAAGCCAGCAGAAATAAGATACACTCTCTGAATGAGTCTTCTCCTTGCATGTTTCTGTGTTCATTCCATGAGGAGGCTGGTCCTGTTCTCCCTTTACTACTTCTGCAGTCACCAGAGTTCTCATAAAGCTAGGCAAAGATTTTTATTTCTAGTGTTGAGAACAAGAAATAGGTTGTTATTTTCTTTAAAAATGTATAGGAGTTATCTGCAAGAAGAACATGGACTATGGAGAGAGGAAAATATGTTAAATTAATTGAAATACCTTATTTTTTGTCAGACTTCATCCATGCATTCTAGGTAAGGAAATTTGAAAAATCTGTGTACAGGAACACTTGCTTAAATATGTGCTCAGGGCTAGATAAAATGTTTGGTGCAGATGTGAGTGGCTTCTGGGTGACGGTATGCATTCCTAGAAATCCCCGAGAAATACATGCACAGGATGTGGAAACTGAGAATCGTTGCAAAGGGAAAACATGGATGCTTACAAAGGCAGCATGAGGAGTAGAAAAGCGAGTTAGCAGGAGGAATAGGTTGTAAGGAAGACAGACAGCCTAGATGTAGGTTGAAGCTTTGTTGTGAAAGACACTTATTTCAGTTAACTTGTACAAATCAGTCATTTTCGAATTGCATATTAATTATGCAAGAGAAGCGTGTCTTCACATGTTTAAGTTATTAGGGTACTTACATTCCTGCAAGCTGTATCAGCTTCTCTGGTGCATATACTGCTGAGCTTGTCTCCAGAGTAGGCAGATCATCCCACTCAAAAAATGTCCCAATGTGTGTTGCTACTCAAAGTAATAGGTAAAACATTTCTTGTTAGCAGACAAGGTGTCTCTCTGGCTTGCAGTCTTGTACAACAATTACTAAAGTATCCTGTATGAAACTGTATGAGGCTTCCTTGTTTCCAGGTTAAAGTCTTTCCGTTCAAGATGTTTCAAAATCAGGCTGTTCCTTTGTCGTCTTGTTTTTGTGTTTTGTTTTGTTGTTTTTCTCCCCTGTCTAACTGGTGTTCTACCAAAGATTCATTCAAGATTGCTCCTTTACTGTACCTAGTCCTTGATTATTCTACTGTCTGTTAAGTATTCAAGGGTTTTAACTTGCCAGTTACTATACTTTTTTTTTTTTTTTTTCTCTTGAAGGTATTGTAGGTATGTGGTGTGTTAGATCACCTGAAGAAGTCCAAAAAGAATTATATGAATTTGTGCATTTCTGTCAAATGAGTTTCTGGCAGAAATAGATCAATTGTATCAAAGAGTGTCCTTTCATGTCTAAACTCAGGTGGTGTTTGATACTATAGACATGTAGAATCTCTATACTACCATGATACTACTTTACTGTTGTCTAAGGGTAATAGGGAGATCTCCATGCTTACAGTGTTTGAAATTTTGTTGGGTAGTTTCAAATACAATTTATAATGTTGTTCAGTATTTTTTGCTGTTGGAGATGCAAAAATAATAACAAAAGAAACCACTTCTGGGATCTTTGTGGAGGAAGCAGTAATAATATGGAAGTCAAAAAGTCTACAGGAATGTCTATGGTATATGTAAACTTCTATGAAAATCAGAATGGAGAATTCTAAGTTTGAAAACATATGTCTAGAACATAAAAGATACACAATTAATTCAGTCTTAAAGGTGGTAAGACTAAATCTACATGCTTATTGCTTAGCTATTTGATTTCAACACATAGTAAAACTAGAGGAAGTTCAGCTAAACAATGCTGTTGATGTAACCAGCTACTTAAGGCATACATATGGAACAGTGTCAGTGCTATTGCCCTGTGACAGGCTGGCCATCATTTGTTAGAGAAAATCTAATCTGTTGGTGGGAAGTTAAAATTTAGCATTACTTATTATTTCATAATTAAATGTTTTTAAGGCTGGTTGTCCTTCTTGTCAGTTTAAGATTAAAAACAACATTAATATTTGTGGATATTTCAGGGAATTTGTCAGACCCCTATATGATTCCTCATTGATGAAACTTAATCACTTCGGGGATGGCATGTGTTAAAAATAATGTTTTCTTCTCTTCTTCTTTTTATTATCTCAACGCCTTTAGGATGGCACCCGGCCTCCACTAGATACTGATGTAAGCCTTGAAGAAATTGCTTACAGTCAACATTGTGATTGTTATACGTGAGTAGCTTCTAGTTTTGACTTTAATATTTAATGTGCAGTGCCAACAGTCCTCTGATGTGTGTTATGTTGTTATTATTAAGAGATCTCTTAACTTTCAGGGTTTATAAGCCTTTTCCCTTACACTATTTTTCTTGCTTTCACTTGTGCTTTTTTCCAAGGAGTTTGTAGGAATATATAGATGCTAAAGTCTTTTTCGTCTGGAATAGTCCTCTTCATGTTGTAAATACAAATCAGTAAAGGCCTCTTGGCTTTGCTTGGTTTTATTTTATAATTCTTGCATAATCTGAGGATAAAAGAACCCTCTTTAAGTTGTGGACCCATATACAATGATGATGAAAGCAAATTGGTTAAACAACCATAACCGACTTGTTCTGTCACACAGTTGAAAGCAATGCTTTTGACAAAGTAATGAGGGCCTATTTCAACTTGTGCCTTGGCAATACCAAGGTGTGGTTTTTAGTAAAGCTTGATAGCCATATCTGTCAGAATAATTTGCAATTGCATTCTACAAAACTTCAAAAAGCTTTACTCTATTAAATGATTTATTAATAGTTAATGATATTCTGGAGTTCACAAAAGATAAAGTTTATGATATGCTGCTTGTCACAATACTGCTTTTGAATCTTAGAAATGAAGGCTATTACCAGTAATGATTTTTAGTTTGTCATTGTTTCATACTTGGGAAAGATGAGTACTTTTTCTTTCTTCTCCCCCTTTCGCTCACTGTCTTTTTTTTTGGAGGGGGGGGTGGTTTTGGGATTTTGGGTTTTGGTTTGGTTTTTTTTTTGTTTGGGTTTGTTTGGGGTTTGCTTGTTGGGGTTTTCTTTGTTTGTGGGGTGGGCTTTTGTGGTTGGTTGGTTGGTTTTTTGGTTTTGTTTTTTAAATACAGCAGTATTCCTAGCATCCCCAAATGAAGCATGGGGAGTTAATTTGAAAATTTTCTTTGGTTCAATGACTTGCACCAGTTTGAAGGCTTGTGAAAAGTTCAAGAGCTGGAAACTGGAAACAAATATTTAGAAAGACTGATCTGACCATGTTTTGTGGATACTGTTATTTTAACAGCATGTTAACTTTAACTTTTGATCCAGGTTTGAGCAGGCAATAATGGGTGATTCCATTTGAGTCTTTCATAAGACTGATTAAAAAAAAAAATATCATGTTCCCACCACGTGACACAATATTAATCAATCCTTTGGCATTTTCAGTGATGCTGGGTCGGGTTTTTGCCTCTTTCCTTGCTTCTCATTTATTTGATCTTAATCTGTGGCTAAAATCTGGAGAATGTCATTCCATAATAAAGGTTGCAGCACTGGGTAGTCCTCAGACTTCCTTCCAGTGTTCTGAAGATGAACCTTTATGACAGCACAACCAGGCTTTTTGTAGCGTCTTGCCTTTCTATATGCCATCAGCAAAAGACGAGAGAAATTTATCCTAAAATAACCTATTCTGTTTGTATCTGTAGAGGGGCAGACCTTTCCGCTCTAGTGCGTGAGGCTTCAGTTTGCGCTTTGAGACAGGAAATGGCCCTGCAGAATACTAAAAATAAGAAAGGTAAGAAAGCTTTACAAAAATCTTAACTGAACAGTGAGAAGATAAATGGAATGTAAAGTATTTACAGTAGTTCAGGACAAGCATAAAGGCATGCATACTGTACATAAATGACGACTTCTGAGCCAAAAAAATTTTAAGTCAGATTTGTTTCAAGAACATATAAGCATCTTTGAAGTAGATGTAGGGGAGAGTACAGGAAAAAAATCATTATGCTGGAGGTTCAGCATAAATTTTTTTAATAAAAAAATTGAACCTTGTAACCTTAAAAGTTTATGCTAAATAGTAGTATAAACTGACAATTTTTATCCTAAACTGAATACATCTTTGCCAAATTTCCACACCACTATCAAAGACTAATTATACTGACTTATTTGCAGATTTGAGTACAGTTGTAACTGCACGCATACTGATCACATACCTTTGGCACACAATTGTACTGTGTAACTGAATACATGCATCTAGTAGTAATAGCGCTAGGAAAATCTGAGTGCCATTTTTTATTTTAGGTGTTTAGCTCATCAGTGGCTCTTGCCAGGACTTTAACAGGGAGTTATAAATTGTTTCAACTACAATGTCTGCCCTTCCCATATTTCTCTGCACTTTTAAGTTTATTTTCCTATTTTTTAAATTATTATTTTTTCTGTGCAGATAGGAGAATGTAATTGGAAATTGAAACTCTCTTACATAAAATGTATGTGTATCTAGATTTTTTCCAGTAATTTCATTTGTTATTTTACCCTTAAGTCAGAATGCAAAGCCAAGATGGAATTGTGACTTTTCAGATTATGTCCTTGGAAAATATATTAGGCTTTCATTATGCCTCTGATTTCTAAGAACCACGCTGGAATTTTAATGACTTTGAATCATTCTTTTTGATCTAGTACATATCCAGTCTTACCTGGTTTTTAACAGCAGTAGGTTAACAGAGCAGAATGTTTGTATTTCTTCTTTTGAGGGAACTAGCATGTTCATTTAGAGGGGGGGGAAGAAACAAACTATAAAAACCTTCACTGTCGTATGACTTGGTTACCCATTTTGCTTGCTTGTAAGATGGAAAAAACTCTTGATTTGAGATGGAAATTTCTGAATTTATCCTGTTTGTTTTATAATTAATCCAGAATAGAGCAGGCTTGATCAAAGATGTTAATCACTTGAATTCAGCCTTCACATTTAGGATTGACGCTTGAGCACTTATTGTATGGATGTGCTGGCAGCCAGCAAGTCCATAATATATGCATAGCTTGATCTGCATGTTTATGGCAGCTGCTTGTTTGGGATGTCCTTGGGTTTGGATTTCCAAGATGTCAGCCCTGGCTGGTATGAAAGCATCTAAGGTGGTTTCTGATTTGAGACCTTGTTCATTTATATCTTCCAAAGAGTAGTATGTGTACATAGACTGGATAATTTCTTCTGTCAGTGTAACCACAGGACATGCACAACTGACGCCTCTCCTACACTGTGTATGTGACTGTAGGTGGGTGATGTGCATCCTCATCAGTCAGTACTGGCTGAGATGAGGCCTGCTCCTTTCTATTTTGTAGAAACTCTTATTTTCCCTCTGGAATAAATTCAGGGTTGTGGGTTTTTTTAACACTCAATAGTGGTTTGCTTAAAGGGACTTTTTTTCGTAGTGAAAGGTATCCTCTTTGTGATATTTCTTGTAACAATCCATAAATTCTGCTTCCAACTTTAATAGTCCTAGGAGAGCTGATCATGTTAGACACTGCGGTCTGGGAATAGCCAGATATTGCAGTTGAGGGCAGGGGGGGAAGATTGGGCAGATTTTCAGTTTTATCAGGTTCCTCTGGAGTTCCTCATTATTGGCCCAGCATTTGACTGCCCAGAAGAATTCAGTATCATTTGCAAACTTGGAGTTTCCACTTCTGCCTCCCTTTTCCAAACCACTGATGAAGATGCTGAATAAAACTGGTATCAGCACCAATGCCAGAGTAAGACCCTACTGCTGCCCGTTCCCTATCCTGAAAAGTGACCGTTAAGCCTTATGCTCTATTTCATATCCTTTAATTAGCTTTCAGTCCACCAAAGGATTTGTCCTAGAATTCTTTGGCGTTTACCCGTCCTCTGGTGCCCATAACAACAGGTTACATGATTTGGCCAGCAGTTCCACAGTTTCATAGACAAGTTCCTTCAGAACCTTTGGGTGAACACCGTCTGGTCCTGCTGACTTACTGTTAACATCCTAACTGACCTATTTTAGTTTAATACTTCCTGTATATTTACTTCAAATCAATCTAGTTACAAAGAATGCATAGGGTATGAGAATCTCTTGACATTGTCAGCTACAAAGACAAGTGTAGAGAATTCATTGACCTTCTGAACTACGACTTTATCCCTGAATGTCCCTTTTTGTATATTAATTTTTTTAAAAGATAGCCAGTGACCCCACATCACCTGCACAGTCTGTAAAGCTGATCTTCTTAAGCAAAGAAGTCTGAGACTTCTTGTTACAGCAGTTAAGAGCAAATGTGGTTTAAGTGAGATTAATTAAAGTTTTGTATCTTTGCAGTTGAATTTGAAAAGCAAGATCTGCTCCTTGTTTGATACTTTCAAATTAAAGAGAAAAGGGAACCAGCTATCCTTCACTCATCTGTATAAATAGGGAAAAAAAACAATTTCGTATTTGGTGTTTTAAGTACTTAGTCTTATTTTAAGATGACTATACCTGTTTATATACTTCATTATTTTATCAAGATAAATTGTTTTAAATAATAAAACATTCATTCTTATTCAGACTAAATGGCTTTGTCACTAGAAATCAAGGCAAACTATGTTAATGCAAGTAGCCAAGGTACAGATTATGGACAGCTAAATTCTCCACAGTATCAAGCATTGTGCCTGCTTTTACCATGCAATGAGCATGAAGTAGCCTAACTTACTTTCAATGAGAGGTAAACTATTTTACCTAGCAGTAGGTAACAGCATGCTTGTACCTAGGCATAGCTAACTCTTAGATTAGTATCATAGACCGTTTCACCTTGACTTTTTCTGATAATCATGTCCTTAATGATACTGATCTTCCTAGCTGATTAATGCTGGTTTCTCCTTTCCCTTTCCTCCCTCCTTGTAGTTGAGGCTATATATTGTTTCACAATTTGATTTAAAAGTTACAGGCTTAAAAAAAAAAGTGAAAGCAAAATTAAATTCTCATAGCTTCATTTTATTGTTTTATGGAGTTTTGATGACTCATTTTTAAAGTAATTTGGCTTCTGTGAAAGACCCCAGTTGAACCATTTTTTCTTTCCATAAGTAGTGTTTCCGTGGGGAAATAAGTTAAAATACTGATATTTTAAATTTATATCTTCATTTATATTGGCATAACTTTATATGGTAATGGGAATCTTGAATAAGAGCTTCAGAGAACTGAGATGAGAAAGAGCAAAAGAGCAGCAAAGTTGTATGTTTAGTTCAGTGAACTTTAACTTTCATCTTTACTTTTAAAGCAAGTAATAATAATTATAGACTATTTGCTCTTCTGTTTTATATCTTAAACAAGCTCTCTAATTTAGTGCCTTCCATCTGCTTTGTAGTCTATTGCTAAACTCGGACATCAAATATATTCATGAGGAATTTTTTTCATGTCGGCACATCCCATTTCACATTACAAAGATGTATGCAAAGGTAGTGGCAGTACATATCTGTGGAAGCAAAATGTGCCCTAATGAAATAAATACATAAATACATAAAAAAATGCACCAAATTGACTCTAAAGACATACTTTTGTGTGCCTCTATCATATCTGATACCTGGGCATAATGTTAGCATTGTAACTAATCTGTATAGTAGTGGTATCTTGGGATTCTTAAGTCTCGATTAAACAAGGAATTCGTTATTTACTTGAGGTATACTTATGTTTTAGCATACTAAAAAAAAAAAAGCCTGTTCAAAAGGTAATGATTAGGAATAATTACTGTAGATAGCTGCATTAAGGTCAAAAAGGGGATTTACATAAACTTAAAGACAGGGAGTTGAAAAAGTGAAAGCTTTCTGGGCAAGGCCAGACAAAGCAATGGTATAAAGTCAATTATTTATGAATTGAGCATCCTGTAGTAGAATGGGAATGATAACAAAAATATTTTCTAGGTACTTAGTAACACTCTGTAGGGAAGCTTAATATGAAACATGTATAGAAAATAAAGCCCAGAACTGGAAGGGTTAAGGGACTTGAATTCTAACTGGATTTGAGGTAAACTGCAGTTAACTTGGCATCTTTGAGAATGAAACTCTCAATCTGCAGGTGGAAACGTTAATATCTAAAATAACTTTCTGAAACAAGTAAGTATTCTTTGGCTTAAGGTGCAAGGGATAGACAATAAAGATCTTGCCTAAGACCATAGACAGGCTACATAAAATGTAAGAGTTCAGGTGTTCATAACACTACTGAATTAGATCTCATCCAACTGACTAGCAGATGCAGTTAGTTAGGTTTCATGAATGCTACCTTGAAATACATGCAAAAATCATTTGATTGTCACTTGCCTGCAATTTAATTTAGTAATTTATTATGCTTTGTTCTTTAAGGAGAAATCAAGATTTCCCATAAACACTTCGAAGAAGCTTTTAGGAAAGTGAAATCTTCAGTATCAAAAAAGGTAAGATAAGCTTCAAGTATGTAAGACTGATTACTCCCCTGGCAAGGATACTCTTTTTATGCTGGAAACTGGGAATAGTTGAGTTTGCAGTATACTTGCATGTAGTTCAGACAACTGACACTACCTTTTCTGCATTGAACAAGCCTGATGTTTTTCACAAGTTCAGAAACTAAAGTCTCCCTTTTCAGCTGCAGCTGATGCATTGCAGGTAGATGGATTACCATGCTATCAAGGTTATCTTTTAGTATGGCACCTTGGACTTCTCATTGACATTCCAGATTAGTTATTGACCTGGCTGTAACCTCTTACGTCTGTGGAATTTTCAGTTGTAAGTCAAGGCCTTTAGAGTGCACCACACCTTCCCACCACCTTTTTTTTCCCCCCTAAATGGGTACGACACCCAAAGATGCTCAACCATTTCTGTTAATGTGCAAAAGACAACATTTTGAGATACACACTTTATCATCTTAGTTATTTCTTACCAGTCTTTTCATTATTTGCATTTATCAAGGAAGTTTGTTTTAAAGGTTTCCTTATGACCTGTTCGTTTTAATGACTGAGAGGAAAGCTGTTCAATCATCTTAATTACTATAATTGAGAAGTTAATATATATAGGAATTATTATTGCTGCAGAGCTTTTGTGTATAGGTCTCTGTTGCCAATAGTGTACTGCATCCAAAATATATTAATATATTCACTTTGAAAACTAGCAAGAGATAAGTTAACTATTTCTTTTCATTATTATTGTACATCGATGGCCAGTGACCTTTTCTAAAACTTAAAAGTGATCTTTGGCTCCAAGACCCTTTAAAGATGGTGTTGGTTGTTGGTTTCTTCCCCTTTGCTATTCACTAAGCAAACAGTTCAGAAGCAACAGCCACAAAAACTTAAAACATCTCCTCTAACATAGCAATCACTGGCAAGTATTAGGACATACTCCTTCTGGTTCTTAAGAGTTAACCAGAAATGTCATTCTGCATCTCAAAGGCAGCTTAAATATCACATGTCTCAAAGCCCTATATTTCAATTATATCTATCTGAAGAATTTTCAATTAGGTATTTTGAAGTATCTTTTGGAGTGCAAGATACTCCCATTTCCAGATGCTACTTCCTCTCTGCTAGACAAATTCAGTCTGACAAAAACGCTCTACACACCTTCCTATGAATACTGGAAAATACAAAAAGCTGCATCTCACTGATTCAGTGCTTCTAACTCTTCTTTTCCCTCCCATACACATCTCGATGAATTCAGTTAACTTACTTTTTGTTTAATTGGTTGACTTGAGACAAACCAAAATTAAGTTCTTAAAGGTATGGAGAGATGTCACCTTCTGAAGCCAGTTATTTCAGTGGAAGTTAACATCTCTAAGTATTCTGTTCCTCAAAATTGTCATTTTGAGTGACTAGTGAAAAGGATGAAGGAACAGTTACAGTTAAGTAAGTTAGACTAGCAAAAGATGATCTTGTCTATTCATTTTGGCAGAGGTAGATGGGAGAGTAAAGTGTCAATTCAGCAGCTCCCCTGGCAAAGAGGGTAGTATCTTCTTCGTGAAGCTGCGATCTGAACATAGCATGGCAATATTAAGTATAAAGAACTCTACCGAAGGCTTCTGTTAATTACATATCATTGGTGACTATCACTGGAGAACCTCACTTATAAGTCAGGGTAGGGGAGTTTTTTTGCCTTTATTTTTTTGTTTGTAAATGTTTTTAAATATAGTTAGTGGCTCATATAGCTGGTTTCTTTCACTTTCTTGTTAAATAATACATATAAAGTCACTTTTAAACATTGCATGATTTTTTTTACCATTGTCTGAAGTCTTTTTTCCTCTCATCTTGGCACTGCTAGGATCAAATAATATATGAAGAACTGCGTCAGTCACTGTGCAGGTGATACATTTGGACAATTCCCAAAAGAGACTTATTCTACATTGGTGGAGAGTTTCATAACACCTGTGCCTGATTTGAAGAGACAGGTTGGAAAAACACTGTACTAAATCTCCCTCAGGTTTTTAAACTGTACCTGAAAAAAGGTCATCATAACCTACTGCTCTAAACAATCCTTAATTAAACTATTTCCAGAATAAAAGATACAATACATGCTTCCTGCTTATCACCATTTACATTTTAACAATTAATGCTTTTAGTGCTAAAGCGTAATACCATTCCAATATAATATTTGGTGCCCTTAATCAGAAATCCCACAGAGGCAGAGAGACTTAACCCTTCATAGTGTTTACTCACTATGCTCAAATAGCTGTTTTCAACCATAAGTGAAAATAGCTGTTTTTAAGAACAAGGACTCTGGGAGAACAGAGCTGTGAAAGTAGTCTGGGAAAGTGCTGCACTGTATGTTATCATACCATAAATCATGTCTTTCCCAAATACAGTGACACATGATGATTGTGCCAGCATGGGTTCTTAGGGCTTTAACAGCTTCCCTTCACCTGATCAAAAGAAACTATCCAGAGATGGCAAGCTGTCTTAAAGTTACCTAGGAGAGAGTAAAGTTTGGAAATCTGAGAAGTGCTATGTTATTATGATTTAATAGCCACCTAAGAAACATTTGAAACAGTAAGAGTTATCTAACAAGCTGGTTCTTAATTATTTTTTTTAAACAGACAAATCTGCAGCAACAAAAAAGTCTATTATGGGTTTGAATTTCTTAGCTCAAGTGTTTTGATATCCTCTGGAGGAAGGAAAATGTTACTGTTTTGAGAAACACGCCAAGAGTCTCAAGCTTTTTTTTTTTTAAATACAACAAATTCCATGTTGGAAAGAGGGTCACAACTTTTAGCACCAGCAAACTAGGAAGTACTGAGTTAAGACAAGACACTGAGATGTTTTATACTGAGATACTCTGAATGAGCAACTAATTTCTGAAACCTACAGGCCTTCGTGGATTTTTTTTTTTACCACTGTCATGATTCTATGAAGTTTTTTAATCATTAATCTCAGTTCCTATCTTTGATCAGTCTTACTCTTCCTAAAAGCACTGCAACCATCAGTCAAGCATCAGAACAGGAAATGGATGGTTTCTGCTAAAAGACTTTCCATGAAATTTGCTAATTTTGATAACACCAAACTTTAAATAATTTTTAAAGTCATATAAAACAGTATAAAATAGTTTTTGTAAGCAACATCTATACTAAAGCATACCACCTACTTACTTTAACATTTAAGAGGGAGGATGTGACCCTGAACAACCTGATCTAACTTCAAGACTGACCTTGCCTTGAGAGGGAACAGTACCTTACAACTTAAATTCTTCTCTGAATTGCTATCTGACAAAAGATCTTGCACATTTTTCCCTGAAGGTAAATGTGGAAGGCTATTACAAATAACTAATCACCACAGACTTGTGTTTTAAAAATACTGACACTCATGGCAGCTTGTACTTACCACTGTGATTTTTGCACACCACCGTATGATATTCCCTCCCTTTTCTAGGGAAGCCTGAGACTCAGTGACTCAAGTTGTGGCCCATATGACTAACAAATGAAGTCCCTGTATATAAAGCAGAAGATGATGTGTCTGCTTGTAATTGTAAGTCAGGCTTGGGGCTTTAGGAATTCTGTGATTCCCAGAAATCCAAGATGAAGGATCATCATTTTATCTCAGTAGTTTCACTTGTGGATGTTCACTACTGTAAGGCAGTGAAATTAGTACATATCAGTGAAGTGACTAATTTTAGTGTAAAATCATAACTAGCTGTCAGGTATAGAGCTATACAAGAATCACCTATGTTACATACTTTTTCCTGTTTTAGCTCTCCATCTACAACTTTACAGTTCGGGGTTTTTTACCACCTTTCTTAAAGAAAAGGCTTTTGCTTTATAGGAAGCTGTAACTGCGTCAAAGTAAGCTGTGAACCCTTTTAGTACACCACCACGCTCGATTCACAAGTGTTTGAGAGTTGACCAATGAAGAAAGAACCAAGCAGGAGCCCCATGAGAACAGTGTATGCTACCTAAATATCAATTTTGAAACTGTCAGCCATTTTACCTTTAGATACGACAATTCTAAGCGCCATCACTGTTTTTTACCTGCCTGTAGCATGCATTGGTTTCAAAACAAATAAACTGTATATAAAAACTTAATTTGGAATAAAAAAGTCTCCTAACTGTGATACAACTTCAGTGATACAATTTAGAAATTTTGTCATCCTTTCTTGGGAAAAAGATGTGGCAAGCAAGCAACTCTTTACAGTTGAAAGTAACTACATGAATGATTTCTCCTTTATTGATATAGAGAGGAAAATCCTGCTACCATACTTAAGGATAGCTGCAGTTAATGAGCTTATGAACAAGTAAAGTCCTCAAGTGCTGGCATATTCACTTAAGAATTTTCTCCTTCTTTCATGTTATGATGGTATTATTCCTGTGTATATATGGAGCAAGAAAGCAAGGGTAGGACTTGCAAGGCAAGGGTAAGGAGGAAATACTATTAAAATAGTAGTAATAACAGTATTACTATTCAAGTCGGAGTAACAATATTGTCTTGACAAGAGTTCTAACAAAACAGATGTTTAATATACAAAGTGTCTCATGATCATTCTCCTTAACATGCGATAGTGGAAGAGGAAGCGGGGTGCAGGAGGGTTTGAATTTACAAGAAAATCTGAAGTTGAAAGGCAGAAAAAGCCAGGTCAGTGAAATATCTATATCCTGTTTGCTTACCTTGTCTGGGCTTCATGTGCCTCAAGGTGCAGACAAGGGTATGCAACTGAACTCTCTTTGACTGTTCACACAAGGAAGTGCTGCACCTACAGTGGTACTTTTTCCTGGGGAAAATTCTGCTTAGGCTATAGTACTTACCACTGAAAAAAGAACTTTATGAGAGAGAAATTGCAAGATGCCCTGTACATAGAAAATGGGAATCACTTTAAGGAACAAGCCTTTTCATGGAATACAGAGACCACTACTTTGTTCTGCATATGCAGCTACCACCCCTCCTAGCAGACATGCCTAGAGGAGGTTTTCCCTCTAGTCTTCTTGTTTGTTGGGACAAGATCAAGAAATCATTCATCATGCCATTCTTCTCTCCCTTTTCCTGAGGCTAGCCACATATCTAAATCACAATAATTATTCTGTCCCAGATCATTAGATGCTAACTTAAGCATGCATAGGGGGCAGAGGCAGTGCAGGGAACTGTCAGCAAAAAAAAAAAATGCTGTCTTCATTCTTGGCTAAATAGGAAACTTTCAACATTTTTGTCCTCACTGAAATCTTGTATACCACTGCAGTCTTGATTGTGAAAAAGATGATTGGATAGAGGAGAGATAATTGTGTACACAGAATTGCAGGTTGCTATACTAAAGGCACATCTACATGATTTAGACACACGTATTTGTCAGATTGTTTTCCTAGGACCTTGCAGAAGCAATCTTGGCAGACCCAGAAGTGGCTCCTGCACTTCACACTGTGCAAGCTAGAACAGCAGAACTTGCTTTGCCTTAAGTCTTTTGAGACTCTCTCAAATTACGGAGGAGTAGACTTTCCAAAAGCTGTGTCTTTGACCACTTATGCAAGATCACTACCTGAAAGCGACTCTTCTCCCGTTTGTCCAACAGGATTAGTATGGCAGCCTGCAATCCATAGCATTGACATCATTGGTTGTTGAACCTCATCATTAAATAAGGAATGAACAGCTTTAAGTTCTACTGTGGCATGCCACTTTATCTGATGCAGGAATAAATGTCAAGGAGGCAGAGGTGAACCACTGAGCTCATTACCTAACAGTGTCTGCCTACCTAGAACAGATCCATTTCTCAACATCTGTAGACTTTAAGTATGTGTTATATGCTTTCTGGCTACATTTAAAGATTTAACCAGAGGAATTTTGAGACACAGAACCAAAAGCCTTAACTACTTTTCAACTGGCCTCTGGTTCCAGGTAGGAAGCCTTCTCCTGGATCTGAAAGTATGGAGCTCTGTAGCCAGAAGATGCACCCATTTAACACGTTAATTGGCCACTGTTGTGGAACAGACAGGTTTAACAGCAAAACAAGAATGCCAGAGGCAAGAGTTGTTTTGAAAGAGGGCTATACCCACACCTGTCCTGTGGGAAAACTCATGCCTAGTATGATCAGACTCCAGGATGCATTACTTATTCCACTTAAGCAGCTTCAAATAATTGGGGGTGGGTGGGGGTGGGTGTGTGGTGGTATGGTGGTTTTTTCCCCCCACAAGCCATGCAAGGCAGTTTATTCTGAAAACTTTTAAGTTACTCTGGAAGCCCTGGACAAGATTCAGAGCTCTGCACAATTTAACTGCAGCTAAAATACTTGGATGACATGTTTAACACTGGTGACCCAAAGTCCAGCTGTGTTTTGACAGTTAAACTCCTGGCTGATTTCACATAAAGCAGAGGTTTGCCAAACTGACAAACTAGTAAGATGCTTTAGTTACACAAAAAGGAACAAACACTAACAAGCATGTAGAAAGGACAAAGTTAACTCATTCCATCTGAATAGATTTATAAAAAAGTTATAATTAGGTTAACTGTCAGGGTTCTTAATGCTCTTTAGGTTTAATTTGTTCTTCACTGCTTAGTTGAAGCTCCCTCCAACTTTCAGATAAAGTATTTAAAAAACTATATAACCTGTTTCTGCCAAATGTATTTAATAGCATCAATGAAAACTATTTAATTCCTTAAAAACAATAACTGGATGGTTCAAATGTATTTTAAAGAAATTTTCATGTTTCTTATTTCTGTGCCATGCCTTTGGACTGAACACCACATTATAAGCATGACTGGAGAAAACTAGTTATTCATTCAGAATATATCAAACACAAGCCAAGTAGTCCAACTGGTCTTAATTCCTTTTACCAGTGGTTCAGAAATGCTTCTAACTGTTTTTTTAGTGATGAAACTATGCTGCAATATAGGTTAACTCAGATGATTTGCTTGTGGCAAAATCCCTACTACTGAAGTTAGATGCCAAAGCCTCTTGGGTATTACACAGGAATTATATGCCTAAGAATGGTAGCTACCAACGCTTGCAAGAATCAGACCATGGTTTAGATCCAAACATAAGTCTCACTGGCTCAGATTAACCTAGTCTAGTAAGTGTTCTCCAATAGGTAGCCAGCAGCATATGTTTCAGAAAGATTATGG